CAACCATAATTAATTTTACAGCAACATAAAAAAAAAAATCTAATGAAGGAAAAACAGCAGCGGGAAACATTTTGAACGTTTCTGATTCGTCATTTACACATCGTTTTGCCTGGAAAAGGAGGAGAGCTCGAAGTTCTAGAAAAGGACTCAAACGAAACTTCAGCATTTCTTTTCAGCGGTAACCAACCATTAGGACATGCAACCATTTTATTCTTGCAGTTTATTCTTCACCTCTAAGACCCAACTCGCCTCCTGGCTTTATTATTATTATTATTATTATTATTATTATTATTTTTCGCTTTTTATATTTTTTACTCCTTTAATTTTTTTTTCCCCCCCATGTGTCCATAGAGCACATTTCCAAGATTAATCGTTCAGTTTTAAACTTGGAAGCATGAGGCATGCTGGGATTTCAGCTGAGGTCAAGCACCAATGTACCGAGCTGTTACTGTTACGCTCTCAGGGTACTCTGTGTTGCTCTCAAGAAGGGGGGGAAGTCAAAAAAAAAATGAGATGCTCTATGCAGTGGCCTGCAGTTCTCCCTCCACATGAAAACACAGTATTAATATACCTACACATGTAAATATATATATATATAGAGGGGTTTATTTACCTACATACATATTCATACACATGTAGCATCCATGTGTGTATCTCTCCCCACACCTCAATAGCTGTATTTACATGATCCATATCATGTCTATCTTATCTACACCCGCATATATAATAATCACTGTATGTGTACACACACACACATCCCCATATCTGTATCAGCTGGAAAATTATCTCGTGAATACACACACACACACACACACACACACACACATAAAAAAAAATCTCTGTCACACAAACGCTGGTTTTAATTTGATTTTTTTTTTTTACAGTAAATGGCCATAACCACTGCCCTGCTATCAGCAGATCGAGGCTAAGGAGGAGAGATACACTTATTTTTCCCTTAAAAGGTCTATAAACACTATTGTATGTGTGTGTATACGACTCTATATATACACACGCGCGCACGCACATATACACAGAGAGAGAGGATATATTTATAAAATAAAATAAAGATGTCAAAGCACAACTCACAGCTCCCAAGAGCCTAACCCGTGGATTTAAAAGCTAAACATCACAAGTTAGGGTCTCAGGGATTGAGAGGGGCGCAACAAACTACTCCTTGCAAAAATAAAATTTGAAAGGTAATAAAAAAGAAAAGCGGGGGTCAAAAAAAAAATAATAGTAATTTTTAAAAATAAAGGATAAAAAGGAGAAAGAGGAAAAGAATAGCAGGCAAGTTCAATTCATGGCTCAAGATTACAAAACAGGACACACAGGTGGAAGGAAAGAGCTTCTCTAAGGACCCTCTGTTGAGAGAATACATTCCGTTTTTAATCGTTTATACGAAAAAAACCAAAACATGACATGGCGCGGCAGGTTCCTTACAGCTCCCAACAAGGTCGCTTGCGACAAATACACGAAAAAGCCTCTGCATTTAAATAACGAAGAGGAAGTTTGGGGCAGTGACGGAATTATTTTCATTGTTTCAACGAGAAGGAATGCAGAAATAAGAGCAGGAATCTGCAGGCTCGCTCCCGGCCCCTGGCACAAAGCGTGCAAAGCAGCAGCAAAGGCGCTGCCTCCCCGCCCCCTCCGCCAGCCCCGGGGATGGAGAGGAGGAAAAAAAAAAAAAAAAAAAAGGAAAAAAAAAAAAGAGAAAACCCGAGTCTCCACAAAAAAAATCAGGT